ATTTGGTTGAAACATTTGTAAAATACACCTATTCAACTACCATGGGACCTTCTAAACCATCCATCAACTGTGGTTTGTTGATATCTCAACAACATATCACTTTTACACATTTCTAGGACTACTAATGTGCATGTCAACTGTACAAGTCCTCAGTGTACAAAAATACTCGTCAACCGCAACAATGTTTCACTACTACCATGAATTGTGGGCTCATGCTGTATTCCCCAAAACAGATTTATTCAAATAAGACATTCTTCAAAGTTGATAATATTGAAACAGACAATGAGGACAAACTATGCAAAGTGAACTTGTCAGACTTTATCAGAAGTAAATAAAGATAAAAACCAAAGCAATGTGATATGATGTGATGGATAATAATTTATACTATGTTCAGTGGAGAGAAAATTAGACAAGCCTCACTTATTTCAAATAATATGACAGCAAATGGATTTTCTTTTGTGAACAAAACCAAAACTGATGGTGTCTTTCTAGGCAATTATTGGGGAGAAAAACCAAATATTGTCAAATCAGATTTTGAAATCATACAATTCATTCCTGTGACCTGTGTGGTGTTGACCAGTTGATAAATGAATATATCATTCTAAGTAAAGAGAACAGCACTGGACTAATCCCCTTTTCCATTTTGTTGATAATGCCAGCTATAATCTCTTCAGGATTGTTCAAAAGAAAACTATTATATAGATGAACTGAAGCTACCTGACATTTTATTCTCAACTGACTTCAACAAGGAAATTATTTTAGCATTTGATGATTTACTGAAAGTGATGCAGTTCCAAATGCTGCAAATGTAAGTAACACCAAATACAATCTAAATGCAATAATTCCTGATTGCATAGATTTTCAAAGCAATTGTCAGTGTGCTAGTGCTATAAATTAGGAATGCTAAGAAAATAAAATTATAAATCAAATATAGCGCATGGTAAATTTATCTTTGTTAAAAAAACAAGAAACTTTCTGACTAACAGTACCATGAAGTTTAAAATCTCTATTATTTTTTAAAATCTTGAAGTAATTTTTAAAAGGTAAAATAATAATAACCTGTAATTTATATTTTGGTCAAATTCTCATGAAATGTTCTAAATCATGAATATGATATAGGAAAATGTATTTGCTTCCTAAATAAACAGATTTTATTAAAGAATTTTATGTGTTTTGCTTTTTTCCTTCTTTGCATGTGATCACCAATTTTTTGTTATTACACATTTTCATTTTTAAAAAAATTGCATTTTTTTTTCACAACTTCTAAGTATTGACACTATGTGTTTGAAAACAAATATTTTTAGAAACCTCATGCATTTCCCCACAATAATATATATAACATTATGAATTTTAGACAAGGATTCTAAAAGTTATTGACTATTTTTTAAGGTCACTAGAAATCTCATGAAAAACATGCAAAATTCAAGGAACTAAAGAGTAAAGAGTATGAAATTTAAGCGCGAATAATTATTTCTAGTGATATAAAATTAAAACCTCCTTTTTACCTAATTGAACTAAAGGCTTAAAATTGCGTCTTTTTGTTCGAATACAATAACCATTTAACAAAATAGTACAAGATTTTTTTTTTAAATGTACATTTCATGATTCTTTTGTCATTTACGACGCCATTGTGGGGAAAAAACAAGGAGAACTCTTCTGTCTTCAAAGATACGTTATAAAAGTTGCCCAATAGGACATATTTAGATTTAAATATTTTTTATTTTTATTTTATAAATCTACTTTGTCTGATATTTCTTTCTAGCCCACTGGATCCATGCACAGCCATGTAAAGGTGGTACTCGCAAAGGACCTCAATATCAGGGGGTGCATTCGCCCAGGGCACTTAAAAAAAAAAAAATTATAATGAGGGGTGGCATTTTCGGCGAGCTGAAGAGTTTTTTTTTTTATTTTAACTTAGTGGTAGTGGGTGGCACAACTCTCTAGTTAACATATCGCAACATAATCCCTGGTCTGCTCGTAACGTTTCCCAGATCTGCTCAT